AATCTCAAATTCATCATATCAGAAAATTAGAATATTACTGAAGACCAATAAAAACAAAGGATTTATAGAAATGTTGGCCAACTGAAAAGTATGAACATGAAAAGTATGAGCATGTACAGCACTCAGTATTTAGTTGGGCCTCCTTTGGCCTGTATTACTGCAGCAATGCGGCGTGGCATGGAGTCGATCAGTCTGTGGCACTGCTCAGGTGTTATGATAGCCCAGGTTGCTCTAATAGTGGCTTTTAGCTCTTCTGAATTGTTGGGTCTGGTGTATTGCATCTTCTTCTTCACAATACCCCATAGATTTTCTATGGGGTTAAGGTCAGGAGAGTTTGCTGGCCAATTAAGAACAGGGATACCATGGTCCTTCAACCAGGTACTGGTAGCTTTGGCACTGTGTGCAGGTGCCAAGTCCTGTTGGAAAATGAAATCTGCATCTCCAAAAAGTTGGTCAGCTGCAGGAAGCATGAAGTGCTCTAAAACTTCCTGGTATGTGGCTGCGTTGACCCTGGACCTCAGAAAACACAATGGACCAACACCAGCAGATGACATGGCACCCCAAACCATCACTGACTGTGGAAACTTTACACTGGACTTCAAGCAACGTGGATGAAGTGCCTCTCTTCTTTTCCTCCAGACTCTGGGACCTTGATTTCCAAAGGAAATGCAAAATTTACTTTCATCAGAGAACATGACTTTGGACCACTCACCAGCAGTCCAGTCCTGTTTCTCTTTAGCCCAGGCAAGACGCTTCTGACGCTGTCTGTGGTTCAAGAGTGGCTTGACACAAGGAATGCGACAGCAGAAACCCATGTCTTTCATACGTCTGTGTGTGGTGGTTCTTGAAGCACTCACTCCAGCTGCAGTCCACTCTTTGTGAATCTCCCCCACATTTTTGAATGGGTTTTGTTTCACAATCCTCTCCAGGGTGCGGTTATCTCTCTTGCTTGTACACTTTTTTCGACCACATCTTTTCCTTCCCTTCGCCTCTCTATTAATGTGCTTGGACACTGAGCTCTGTGAACAGCCAGCCTCTTTAGCGATGACCTTTTGTGTCTTGCCCTCCTTGTGCAAGGTGTCGATGGTCGTCTTTTGGACAACTGTCAAGTCAGCAGTCTTCCCCATGATTGTGTAGCCTATAGAACTAGACTGAAAGACCATTTAAAGGCTTTTGCAGGTGGTTTGAGTTAATTAGCTGATTAGAGTGTGGCACCAGGGGCCATCAATTTTGAACCTTTTCACAATATTCTAATTTTCTGATATGATGAATTTGAGATTTTCATTTGTTGTCATTTGTAATCATCAAAATTAAACAAAATAAACATCTGAAATATATGAGTTTGTATGTAATGTATGAATATAATATACAAGTTTCACTTTTTAAATGGAATTACTGAAATCAATCTACTTTTTCATGATATTCTAATTTTATGACCAGCACCTGTATATAAAAGCAATTTAGAGAGAGCAATTCATAAAACATTCATCTAATAGTCATGATTTTGGACTGTTTAAGTTGGGGGAAAATAACAAGAAAAGACTCAATCTTGTACAAGAGAACATGTTAAGTCCGTGAAGAAAGACCCCCAGCTGATATTTGACCCATTCTTTTTGGTACCAGACATGGGGGCTTTAGCCCCACTGTTTACAGCTGATACCCTGAAGTTTGAAGGAATAGACATCATGCCTAATTTATTATACATGCACTCAGATGTTGACTGGATGAGATGAGGTGAATTTCTTTAATGAAAAATCATTTGTACAATAGGTTGGTTTTTACTGGTCAAATCTGCACAAAGGATCCTGTTCCAGATGTTCCGGTTATGTCAGGTGCAAATATACAAATTTAAGTTCTTTTGGGTTTCCTTTAAAAAAAAAAAAAAATGCTTTTTTTTGGCAATCATCCTAAACAAGGCATACACAGTATGCCTTTAAATTCACAGCTAAGGACTTTTTTTCATTTAACATGCTAACTAAAACCTGTAGAGTCGAATGTTGAATTATTTTTTCCTTATTTTGCTGAGGTGGGATCAAACCATTGTTTTATAAGTAAGAGGAATGATAATGAATGGAACTGAACAGAGATAAAGAGAGACAATCAAACTAAGAGGAAAATATCAATTCTAAATGTCCCAAAAAATGGAAGCAAGAATAAACTAAGAAATTAAAACGTATTTACGACTGAGAAATACCAAAGTTATAAACATTTCACTCAGACTGATTATAATAAAATAAGATTAAGTCTAAAGAAGAATATTTACTAGTGATGACTTTCATAGCAATTGTTACTCCTGTATTGTTACTGTGATAAATGGGAGCCCTATAATATTTATTATCAGATTATTTTCTGCTGCTGCTAATCTATTTTAGTGCTGTGGTCAAACTATGACATCAGTGTTTAGGGATGCCTGTCGTTGTGCTGTCAGTATCTGGAAGCAGGAGAGATGGCAGCTGTGCTCGGTTTAGACGGTAAGTTTGTAAGTCCGGCCTTCAGTGGAGGGGGCTGCACTTCATCCCTCTGTCCATTTTTTCTCTTTCTTTTTTTTCATTGGCGGGAGAAGAAGCAATGCCTACTTGATTGACCAGGCTTGTGCTTCACCCACCTCCATACCCATGTCCACCCTGTCCTGATGGATTTTCGCAGCACATTTTGGAAGGGATTACAGCCATCTGCAGGCTCTTGAGGAACAAAGGGAGCTCCGTGCTCTCCTCCCCTCAGCACTTCAGAGGGATAACATGGTCCATAAACATGCATTTGGATTTGTTCTTTTCTACCTTGACCTCTGTATCTCAGCTCCACACACTTCAAAGCGGAATATGTCATTTCCTCCAAGCGCTAACACAAGGCACTTTGTAAACACAGTGTCTTGCAAGCTTGAACTTTTCCAAACTTCCTTTTTCCAACTTTAATTAATTTAATTAGGATTTTATGTGTTAGATAAGCATAAAGGGGTTCAAAATTATTAAAACTGAGCAAACGTAAATCAAATTAGGTCAGTTTCTGAAATAGATGTATTTCCCCTTGATCTGAGAAGGTAAGACAATTTGCCAGTAGAATAAGATGGTTTACATGTAAAATAGGAAAGAAATGGTTAATTTTCTTATTCCAAATGTGACATTGTGCACTATAACTTTCTACAACTGAATAAAAATAAAACTGAGGTAAAAAGGAGGAGAGATCCAGAGTTAGCTCACAGCTTCAGCTACTAGAAAAAACTGATTATGGCCAAAATGTTGGTGTCAGGTCTGAAGGTTCAGGTCTGAGTCCAGACCTGAACCTTCAGAGGCACATAAAGCCAGTTATTAAGTAAACATTTTATTACATTAAGAACATTTCCAGGATTAGAGGACTAATGTCCAAATAGGAGCTATAAAAAACTGCATTTATCTTTAGTAGAATTGATTTTTGCAACAGTGTCTACATAGGTTAGCCTAAAAAGTCCATCAGAAACCTGCAGCTGATCCAAAATGCTGCTGCCCATGTTCTCACTAAATGATTTAGTTTAAGTTTGTTGTCCAATTGTTTTAATTGTTTTACACATGTTCTTTTTTATCTTCATTTTTTTTTGATTCTGCTTTGATTTTTCTTCTATTGTACTGTCATAAATTCGTACATAAGTTTGTACTTATTTTTAGATCAGTTGTAGCGTATACATGTTATATGTTGCCACTTTTATCTACTCTTTTTAGAAATGAACATGATGGTGTGGACTTTGCATGTTAGAGCTGCTTAAAGGTACAGAGGACAATCTTTTTTCTCTTTGTGGATCATATAAATAAGTGGTCCTCCTAATTGTCAATCATTCTGGTGATATGTTTACTTAAAGCCTTTCTACGTGCTCGTCCGTTAGATCTTTTTCTCTGCGCATGCGCACTTTCAGATGTGTATGTGTGGTGAGCTACGGTTCAGACACTCATTGAAGCTTACCTTTCTCCCCGCAATTCTTTGAAAATGGCCAAGGGTCGTAAGAGAAAAAGTGTCTACAAAGTGTATGAAAAGAAAGGAAAGGCCTCAGAAGAGGCAGATATATCCTGGAATGCTGTTTGCAGAGACCTCTACTCGCAAAGCATTATGGGTTTTGCTGTAACAGCAGCCCACTGTTGCCATAGGCTGTCGCTACCTGACAATAACAAAGATGGCGCAGGCACCATGCAGTGGAGGAGGAGTTACGTGATCAATGGGAAGCAAAAAAGCAGTGATCATCTGTCTGAACTGTAAGTTAACTGAGTTCACTATAAGGTATAGTCCCTGTTCTATTTAGTGACTGAGGAATTTAGCAGTCAGAGTGGGCGTTGCGACACAGTTGGCTTGTATGAGCTATGGCTGGCAGGCAGGACAACCACCCTAAACATACAACTAGAGATACAGATCCAAGCATATTCATCTGTTTAAGTGGTCTAGTCAAAGTCCATACTTCAATATAATTAAGAATCCTCAGTGAGACTTTGAAAATGTATTTGTCAGAGATGTTATTAATGCAGTCTTTAGCTGTTTTATAAGAAGGGTGATATATTTCAGTCTGTAGGTTTGCAAATCTGCTTCCCACTTGTAAGATTTTATTCACTTTTATTCGCTTTTAAAACTCAGTAAAAATGTTCAACTTCTTTGGAGGGTGGTTTGAGACAAGTTTCTAACCAATTTGAGTTGCAACTTTTCCTAATGTTTCTCCCATTAGGGAGGAGAAGGTTATGGAAGCTATTGTTTGGTGATGGATGGTGTTTTTATTTCTGGAGGAGGAGAATTTAAACTTTTCTGAGCCTTGAATAGTCAAAGTTTCCTTCTGGAAATGATCCTCCGGCTGTTAGAGTGTGTTTTGAGAAAGCGACATGTCAGCAGGGAATTAGCGATGCCAAATTAGCCTCCTCATAAACCCCAAACTCACTGTATACTGGTGGGAATACAGGATGACATACGGGTGTAATAATGTGTGTTGATACATTGTTGGGTTGATGTTCATCACACTCCTCAGCTAACCCTCTATGCCATTTACACATCTGCACATGATCCAACCAAAAAGAAAACATAGAAAGGTGTTCTGAGGTGTTTTTCTATGAAAACCTTGGCTAGCAGACAGTAAGCTTGCTGCTGGATTTTACATTGTTTTCCTGAGTTTTAAATTAGACAAGAATGAATGGCTTTTCCGAGCATAGGCTCTCTGATCCCTATTTGTTCAGATGTCCACCGCCAAGTCCTTTCATCCATGTCTAGGAAGTCATGACTCCACCTTGTCTTTTGGACCATGACTGCTTATTGCACTGAAATGCCTGATGGCAGAGGGTTCATTTCTCTCCTCAGTCCTTTGGAATGGCCACATCCACCGTTGGCTCCGTGGCTACAACGGCGTTGATTTGCTCACTGCGGCCTCCTCCTGGACAGGGCTCAATCTGGCCGGGCTTTCAGCGCCACGCTTTGATTCTGCAGTGTAGACGAGCAGCACCAGAGCTTCTCAGTCTACGGGCAGTTCACAGGGGATCTGCTGAGCTGCTTTGGCCACAGTGTAAGTCCTCAGGAAGTCCTTGTAGCGTGGTGCACACCCCAGCCAGGCCTCCCCGAAATGGACCCTGCCAGTGAAGAGGAAACTGCCTGGTCCCGGCTTGACACCGCACTGTAGCAGAGTCCGGATTTCGCCACGACTGGCCAGCCGACTGTTGCTGGTGAAAAGGGTGTACTTCTGACGAAAGACCCGGGTGGCGCTGACCTTGATCACGGCTGCTCGGAGAGTTTCATCCTCCTCCACAGACCGGATGTTCCCTCGCACAACTGAGAAAAAAACAAAACAGGACACTTAGGTTTCTGTTGCTTGTTTTAAAACACGTTTAACATAACATTAAATGTATTAAAGAAGAAAATTCTGTTCAGTTTCTGTAAAGTGTTGGGTGAATATTAACTTTTCAAAACATCTGGTCTCCCTAATAATCTGTCTAGTAGTAATTGCCGTCAGGACATCTTCCTCTTTTGGTTCAAAGTGGTTCTAGTGATGGTTCAGTGCCCTTACTAGAAACACTCAACGATGTGTCCAACATAGGAAATTTGTCTTTTATCATTATTGTCTTTTTCTCTAAACCTTCACTTCTTTGTTTTACAAATGTACCTATGAGAATTCTGTATCTTTTGATTGTCAGCTCATTTTATAAGAACAAAGATACTACTATGTCCGTTTTTAACTTCTAGATTCTGATCTACAAAGCCTTAATGTTCCTGTTTCATGCAGGAAGATAATTAATGGTGCCGCCTCCAGCCTCAGTTTGCTGTGTAAATATCTTTTTTTTTTTTTAAAGCTGTCCAATACAAATTCACATTGATAGAATAGGTCCTGTTTAAAAACAGGTGATTTTCACAAAATCCCCAAATTTCCCATTTAAGGGCATCTGTTTTGATTTTCTAGTTTTTGTAATAGTGCCAACTTGAATCTCTGGTAACTTACCAAAGTCACTGGTGCAAACTGCCATTAGGATCTCTGTATCATTGCAGGGCCTGCATGCATCTGAAGAGACAACAAGTAGCGGCAGAGTTAGTTGATGACACCCAACAAGGCAAAATTAAATAAACACCAATATGCAAATCCCCTGGAAATGAAAAAGATCATGTATATGTCACACTCAATGAAACCGTAACCTTCATCTTAAAAGAACACAAGTATAGAAGGAGGGATGAACCGCTGTAATAAAACCCTAAATTAGCATCTTAGCATCACACTAAGCATCACACTAAAATAACATTTTGAGTCCTAATACAGACAACAAAAACTATCTAAATACTTTACTATTTTGTGTACATTTCTCTTTTTTTGCTTACAGTAATCATTGCATAATAAAACATAAAAATGAAAAGGCTATCAATACATTTAAATCCCAAAAGTCTGGAAAGCAATATGAGTGTATTATGAAAAAATTATGGTAAAATTTTAATGGTGGCTTTAATTCAATTCCTAACTTTTAATTAAAACCATTTTTTTTGCTATTAGATGGAGAAAAACAACTAGTTTACATAATTTTAACAAGTCGTTATATGTAATGATTTGCAAAGAGTTTGAACGTGGCATAAAAACAAGGCGGGCCCTCTTCTAACCCAACAAAAACTCTTACTTCTGTACCTCTGACCTCTATAATCATTTGAAAAGCAAGTAATGGTCACTTCTTGACCAGAAATTGTCTTCCACCTTAGAACATGATACATTATTTTATTTTTCGCCCTTTCTTCTGTCTGTAAAATTATTTTGCAAACATTTCCCTCAAACCTCCCTTTAATTAGATGCACTCTTTTGATTTAAATGTGGAGCAGCTCTTATATCAAGGGTTGGAAAAGCTGCTTCCCATTATTTAATACCATGGTAAAAAAATATAAACTCACTCTGTTGTCTATTACCTGTATTAAATACAATTATTCTTTAATTGTAATACATCATAGAAAAATAGAGAGGAGCTATAAAGCTGCACAAACTTGTATGAAAACCTAAAGTAGTTTCTGGCACAGAGGGAGAGATTCCTATGAAAGCAATGTTGATCTCTGTTTTGGATTCTTACCAGAAACAAGCAGCTGTGGACAAAGCTGTGGGAAAGATTTCAAGGTGGAACGATGACTGGACAGTTCCAGTTAAGAAGAATCCAGAACGACCAGCCTCAGAATCTCAGCTGCGTATTAAATGATTTATGCCCTGGAGGGGAAAGAGATGAATCTCGATTACTTTGCTGTGACTGATGAGATAAACATGTCAGATGATTTACTGAAAGACGAGGCCAGAAAACACAGACTGTAAACAAACTAAGGAGAAGTTATTTTCAATGATGATTTGGTTATCAGACTGTGGATATTGTGTCTTTTTATTTGTATTTGTTTGGAGAAAACTTAAAAAATTACCTTAAAAAGTATTTACACACCTTACTCCGGCCCATTTGTTTGACAACCACCAGCTGCTGTATATTTCTTTTAAACATCTGTATTTTGTGCAATATGGAACCACAAGGATACATGTTTGTAAAACCTTTAAACAAATAAAACCTAAGAAGAAGGGGTATTCATTTGAATGAGTCACTAGATTTGCTGTAACAAGAGCTGGAAGTCATTTAGGGTGTGTCTCTTTGCAGATAGACAGTCATTTTTGCCACTTTTTCCTTGCAAAGTAGCTCAGGCTCATTTAAATTGGTCAAAGTGTCTATTAACATTGACTTTTTCCATTTCAACACAGATTTTTTTTTTCCATTCTACACATGAATATGCTTGAATTAAGGAATACCGCCATAGTTTTTTTTTATCCCAGGACTCTTTTTGTACCAGCCCTATTCATGTCCATTCACTCTGACCATCACCCATAAAGAACCTACACCATGATGCAACCACCACCATGTTTCACAATGGGGATGTTGCACTAAGGGTATGCATTATGCATAGCCTCCAAAAAGTTATTTTATTGGTCTAATTTCTACTACCTTCCTCACATCAAAGCAGTTTTTGTTGTATAAAAGTGCATTTTATTCAACAATATCTTTCTTTTTGCAATTTATTTATAAAAGACCGATTAAAGAGGTAAGAAAATAATAATCATATTGTCAACAGATTCCTCCACGTCATCCTTGGATCACTGTAGCTCCCACACAGTTATAATGGGCCTCTTGTCTGATTATCTGCTAAAGATGCTAAAGATCCAGGAATGTCCCTGAAAGGTTTTTAGTTGGGTGAAGTGGCTGCACTGTGTCCATTAGGTGTACATTAGGTTTTTTGAACCCAACCCTGCTTTAAACTAATTCATTTGTTCATCTTTAGTAGAATTGATACTATAATGGTGTCCTCATTGGTCTGCCTAAAAAGCTGCTCAAAATCCTGCTGCCAGTGTCGTGACCAAAACTAAGTGGAGCACATCAGCCCAGTTCTAAAGTCCATACACTGGTCTTCCACATCTCAGAGAATAGACTTTTAAAAATATCAATTCAGTCTATAAATCGCTAAATGGCATAGTTTCAAAATATATTACAGACTTGTTGTCAGTGGATCAACCACTTAGACCTCTCAGGTCCTTTGGTTCTATTCTACCTTGCAAACCTGGAACCAAACATGGAGACGCATCATTTAGTTCTTATGCTCCACTAATCTGGAATAAACTCACTGAAAACTATAAAACCATTGAAATCCTCAGTTTTTTTTTAAAATCAAGGTTAAAAACAGAGTTACCTTTGACAGTGCTATCTAAACATTATTAGTTAAAGGTATAGTGAAGGATGTCCTTTTTCCAGGTGGATCATCAAAATAAGTGGTCTTTCTAATTGTCAATCATTCTGGGGATATGTTGACGCAAGGCCGTCCTATGTGCTGGTCCCCATTTTTACTTACCGTTTGTGAGACTGACATTATGATAAAATTGCAAATCTTCTTCTGGTAAGTAAGCTTTTAAACAGAGCGTGCACGAGGAGAAATGGGCTCGTGTACGCTCTTGCACATGTTTAATAGGCGTTCCCTCTTCGGAGCGGGTACAGTTTTTTTTCCTTGCTAAACATTTTTTTTATTTAATCATCTTATTTTGATCAATTGATTAAATAATTATAAGGCGACAGTAGCATTTGATTCAGGAGTTTTCCTTGTAGCTGGGTACATTTGGGTGAATGGGTGAATTACTGAATGTAGTTTAAAGCTCTTTGGTCAACTCTCCTTACTTGAAAAAGCACTATAAAAGTACAGGCCATTTGAATTTTAGTTATTTGTGTTGACTTTATGCCATGGCAATGTACTTTTCTTTTTCGTTAAGCTTTGAGTTTTCATGCTACTGAATTGTGCTTTATAAATAAACTTACTAACTAATAAGGCCAGTAAATTGCTCTGGATTTTATTCTAAGGTATTAGAGTAAAGGGGGTGGATCACAAATGCTTAATTAACTTTTAAGACTTTGGAAAACAATGCATATTTTCACAGTTATGTGGAACTTTAAGTTTGAGAGTTATAGGTTTATCATGAAAAACAAATGTTTTCAGAGGAGGAAATGGTTTTGTAAGGAACTGTAGTTTAGTAATTCTTTATCAAGCAGCTGCAGAGTCTGGGATGTTTGCAGGGTTTTAAAACAGTGACCAATATTGTGCGTGTTTGCATGGTTGGATAACAAGCAAAACGTTCTCCTAAAAAAGGCGCACCTTTCCCGTTTCAGCTCTCATCTCTTGAGCTTTGTCTCCGACCGCTTCCCCTCAGACTCCCACAGGGACTGATGGAAGTCTACACCCAAAACAACTTTCTCTCGACACGAGAATCTCTGTTTCTAAGTGGTTCCTGCTTTGACTTGTCCACACCTCACACCAGCCACAACACGGACAGAAAGAAAGAAAAACAAGAGGAGTCTGTAGAAAATGAAAGGATGTAAGAACCACATGAATTTCTTCATTCAGAAACGGTGATTAGACATTTTCACGATTTCTGTGCAACATATTAAAGTCCAAACATTCTGTTGTTAGACACATTCAAACAAGCTTTTTCTTTTGTGGCCTTTGCAAAGAAAACTGAAAACTATGCAAGTGTGACAACAGTGACATAAATTGTGGACGGGGGGTCTCAACAAAATGACAATAGCGCAGGAAGTTCAGCTTTGTCAAAATGTCAAATGATATATAGGTGAGGGGCAATAATCAGTGGCTCTTTGTTTAGGCTTATCAGACTGGAGCAGTAACTTCAGTTAGGCTGGAAGGGAGGGTGTGTGTGTGTCTGCAGGGTGCACCCCCCCTTCCATGCAGGATGTTTTAAAGGGGCACTGAGGCAATAAATGGCTGGGGAGGATCCATCACATCAACTCTTGATGCAGACGCCAAGCAGGAGGATTGGGCAGGCAGTTCCAGGACGCCTGTCAAGCTTTTGTGATCCTTTAAAGTTAAACACCATGTAAATTCTCCCAGCTGCTGTATTACAGAACCGGCTTAATGCTCGCAATAAATCTCAGGTTTTACTGAGGTGTGCACGACACAGTTTAATTCAAAAAGAAGAAACAGGTGGTGAATTTACTGCAGAAGGCTCAGGGAAAGGTGGACAGGCTTTGTGTTTATGCAGTCCAAGCAGAAAGGGCTGTGCTTTCATTGTGTACACGTGGTCAGGATGAAACGAGCGACTGTGTGGCACCTTCGGCCCAGTCTGGTCTGCCACACCACTCCCTTAATGGCAATTTATTGCTTCCTGAATCCTGAAAACAGGAGGCAGAGGACAACGGGATTCCAACTGCTGTTTTCAACCTCCTTCCCAGTTCAAACTCCGACCGTCCCCAGTGCCCTCCGCCTGCCAAAGTGCACCACAGTCCCTAAATCTCTCTAGCCTTTCAGGCCTTCTCCCTCTCACAGGGCCGGCATTTGTTCTTGGCTTTTAGGAATCTGATTCATGGGTACTTGAAGTGTCTTATGCCTGAGAACCTTTTACTGTGGAAGAAAGCTTGAAAACTCCGAGCGTAACATAGGCTGAACAGTTCAGAAGTGGAAAGTAAAGAGTCAGAAATTAGAAACCAAACAATATTTATGTTTTTCCATAAAGAATATTTTAATAGCACAAAACAACATAAAAAAATCAACAGAACTTTAAGTTTTTGTGTCTTTATAACATTTCTTATGGACATATTTACATT